TTTACTGCTGTCATATGGGGTAACAACCAACACTGACACCTTTAAACAAGAGGATTTAGATCCTATAGTAATAGGTTTTTACTCCTGTCATATAGGGTCACCAACACTGACACCTTTAAACAAGAGGATTTACATCCTATAGTAATAGGTTTTTACTCTTGTCATATGGGGTAACAACCAACACTGACACCTTTAAACAGGAGGATTTACATCCTATAGTAATAGGTTTTTAACCCTGTCATATAGGAGTAACAACCAACACTGACACCTTTAAACAAGAGGATTTACATCCTATAGTAATAGGTTTTACCCCTGTCATATAGGGTAACAACCAACACTGACACCTTTAAACAAGAGGATTTACATCCTATAGTAATAGGTTTTTACTCCTGTCATATAGGGGTTACCAACACTGACACCTTTAAACAAGAGGATTTACATCCTATAGTAATAGGTTTTTACTCCTGTCATATAGGGTTACCAACACTGACATCTTTAAACAAGAGGATTTACATCCTATAGTAATAGGTTTTTACTACTGTCATATGGGGTAACAACCAACACTGACACCTTTAAACAAGAGGATTTACATCCTATAGTAATAGGTTTTTACTCCTGTCATATAGGGGTTACCAACACTGACACCTTTAAACAAGAGGATTTACATCCTATAGTAATAGGTTTTTACTCGTGTCATATAGGGTAACAACACTGACACCTTTAAACAAGAGGATTTACATCCTATAGTAATAGGTTTTTACTCCTGTCATATGGGGTAACAACACTGACACCTTTAAACAAGAGGATTTACATCCTATAGTAATAGGTTTTTACTACTGTCATATGGGGTAACAACCAACACTGACACCTTTAAACAAGAGGATTTACATCCTATAGTAATAGGTTTTTACTCCTGTCATATAGGGGTCACCAACACTGACACCTTTAAACAAGAGGATTTACATCCTATAGTAATAGGTTTTTACTCCTGTCATATAGGGGCACCAACACTGACACCTTTAAACAAGAGGATTTACATCCTATAGTAATAGGTTTTTACTCCTGTCATATGGGGTAACAACACTGACACCTTTAAACAAGAGGATTTACATCCTATAGTAATAGGTTTTTACTCCTGTCATATGGGGTTACCACCAACACTGATACCTTTAAACAAGAGGATTTACATCCTATAGTAATAGGTTTTTACTCCTGTCATATGGGGTAACAACCAACACTGACACCTTCAAACAAGAGGATTTACATCCTATAGTAATAGGTTTTTACTCCTGTCATATAGGGTCACAACCAACACTGACACCTTTAAACAAGAGGATTTACATCCTATAGTAATAGGTTTTTACTCCTGTCATATGGGGTTACCACCAACACTGACACCTTTAAACAAGAGGATTTACATCCTATAGTAATAGGTTTTTACTCCTGTCATATGGGGTAACAACCAACACTGACACCTTTAAACAAGAGGATTTACATCCTATAGTAATAGGTTTTTACTCCTGTCATATAGGGTAACAACCAACACTGACACCTTTAAACAAGAGGATTTACATCCTATAGTAATAGGTTTTTACTCCTGTCATATGGGGTTACCAACACTGACACCTTTAAACAAGAGGATTTACATCCTATAGTAATAGGTTTTTACTCCTGTCATATGGGGTAACAACCAACACTGACACCTTTAAACAAGAGGATTTACATCCTATAGTAATAGGTTTTTACTCCTGTCATATACGGTAACAACCAACACTGACACCTTTAAACAAGAGGATTAACATCCTATAGTAATAGGTTTTTACACATGTCATATAGGGTAACAACACTGACACCTTTAAACAAGAGGATTTACATCCTATAGTAATAGGTTTTTACCTCTGTCATATGGGGTCACCAACACTGACACCTTTAAACAAGAGGATTTACATCCTATAGTAATAGGTTTTTACTCCTGTCATATAGGGTTACCAACACTGACACCTTTAAACAAGAGGATTTACATCCTATAGTAATAGGTTTTACCCCTGTCATATAGGGTAACAACCAACACTGACACCTTTAAACAAGAGGATTTACATCCTATAGTAATAGGTTTTTACTCCTGTCATATGGGGTTACCACCAACAGTGACACCTTTAAACAAGAGGATTTACATCCTATAGTAATAGGTTTTTACCCCTGTCATATGGGGTAACAACCAACACTGACACCTTTAAACAAGAGGATTTACATCCTATAGTAATAGGTTTTTACTACTGTCATATAGGGTAACAACCAACACTGACACCTTTAAACAAGAGGATTTACATCCTATAGTAATAGGTTTTTACTCTTGTCATATAGGGTTACCAACACTGACACCTTTAAACAAGAGGATTTACATCCTATAGTAAAAGGTTTTTACTCCTGTTATATAGGGTTACCAACACTGACACCTTTAAACAAGAGGATTTACATCCTATAGTGATAGGTTTTTACTCCTGTCATATGGGGTAACAACCAACACTGACACCTTTAAACAAGAGGATTTACATCCTATAGTAATAGGTTTTTTCTCCTGTCATATGGGGTTACCAACACTGACACCTTTAAACAAGAGGATTTACATCCTATAGTAATAGGTTTTTACTCCTGTCATATGGGGTAACAACCAACACTGACACCTTTAAACAAGAGGATTTACATCCTATAGTAATAGGTTTTTACTCCTGTCATATAGGGCACCAACACTGACACCTTTAAACAAGAGGATTTACATCCTATAGTAATAGGTTTTTACACCTGTCATATAGGGGTAACAACCAACACTGACACCTTTAAACAAGAGGATTTACATCCTATAGTAATTGGTTTTTACTCCTGTCATATAGGGTAACAACCAACACTGACACCTTTAAACAAGAGGATTTACATCCTATAGCAATAGGTTTTTAACCCTGTCATATAGGGGTAACAACACTGACACCTTTAAACAAGAGGATTTACTTCCTATAGTAATAGGTTTTTACTCCTGTCATATAGGGGAACAACACAGACACCTTTAAACAAGAAGATTTACATCCTATAGTAATAGGTTTTTACTACTGTCATATGGGGTTACCACCAACACTGACACCTTTAAACAAGAGGATTTACATCCTATAGTAATAGGTTTTTACTCCTGTCATATAGGGTAACAACCAACACTGACACCTTTAAACAAGTGTAGTGTATAGTGTAGTGTATAGTGTAGTGTATAGTGTAGTGTATAGTGTAGTGTGTAGTGTATAGTGTAGTGTATAGTGTAGTAGTGTATAGTGTAGTATATAGTGTAGTGTATAGTGTAGTGTATAGTGTAGTGTATAGTGTAGTGTATAGTGTGGTGTATAGTGTAGTGTAGTGTATAGTGTAGTGTATAGTGTAGTGTATAGTGTAGTGTAGTGTATAGTGTAGTGTGTAGTGTATAGTGTAGTGTATAGTGTAGTGTATAGAGTAGTAGTGTATAGTGTAGTGTAGTGTATAGTGTAGTGTATAGTGTAGTGTATAGTGTAGTGTATAGTGTATAGTGTAGTGTATAGTGTGGTGTATAGTGTAGTGTATAGTGTAGTGTATAGTGTAGTGTATAGTGTAGTGTGTAGTGTATAGTGTATAGTGTAGTGTATAGTGTAGTGTATAGAGTAGTAGTGTATAGTGTAGTGTATAGTGTAGTGTATAGTGTAGTGTATAGTGTAGTGTATAGTGTAGTGTATAGTGTAGTGTATACTGTAGTGTAGTGTATAGTGTAGTGTATAGTGTAGTGTATAGTGTAGTGTATAGTATAGTATATAGTGTAGTGTATAGTGTAGTGTATAGTGTAGTGTATAATGTAGTATATAGTGTAGTGTATAGTGTAGTGTATAGTGTAGTGTAAAGTGTAGTGTATAGTGTAGTGTAAAGTGTAGTGTAGTGTATAGTGTAGTGTATAGTGTATAGTGTAGTGTATAGTGTAGTGTAGTGTATAGTGTAGTGTAGTGTATAGTGTAGTATATAGTGTATAATGTAGTGTAGTGTATAGTGTAGTGTATAGTGTAGTGTATAGTGTGGTGTAGTGTATAGTGTAGTGTATAGTGTATAGTATAGTGTGTAGTGTATAGTGTAGTGTATAATGTAGTGTATAGTGTAGTGTATAGTGTAGTGTATCCTAGTGTATAGTGTAGTGTATAGTGTGTAGTGTAGTGTATAGTGTAGTGTATAGTGTATAATGTAGTGTAGTGTATAGTGTAGTGTATAGTGTAGTGTATAGTGTATAATGTAGTGTATAGTGTATAATGTAGTGTATAGTGCATAGTGTAGTGTATAGTGTAGCGTAAAGTGTATAGTGTAGTGTATAGTGTAGTGTATAGTGTAGTGTATAGTGTATAATTTAGTGTAGTGTATAGTGTAGTGTATAGTGTAGTGTATAGTGTAGTGTATAGTGTAGTGTATAGTGTATAATGTAGTGTAGTGTATAGTGTAGTGTATAGTGTAGTGTATAGTGTAGTGTATAGTGTAGTGTATAGTGTAGTGTACAGTGTAGTGTATAGTAGTGTATAGTGTAGTGTATAGTGTAGTGTATAGTGTAGTGTATAGTGTAGTAGTGTATAGTGTAGTGTATAGTGTAGTGTGTAGTGTAGTGTATAGTGTAGTAGTGTATAATGTAGTGTATAGTGTAGTGTATAGTGTAGTGTATAGTGTAGTGTATAGTGTAGTGTATAGTGTAGTGTATAGTGCATAGTGTAGTGTATAGTGTAGTGTATAGTGTAGTGTATAGTGTAGTGTATAGTGCATAGTGTAGTGTACAGTGTAGTGTATAGTGTAGTGTATAGTGTAGTGTATAGTGTAGTGTATAGTGTAGTGTATAATGTAGTGTATAATGTAGTGTAGTGTATAGTGTAGTGTATAGTGTATAGTGCATAGTATAGTGTATAGTGTAGTGTACAGTGTAGTGTATAGTGTAGTGTATAGTGTAGTGTATAGTGTAGTGTATAGTGTATAGTGTAGTGTATAGTGTAGTGTAAACAAGAGTTTCAGTCCCTCACCGTGATCCTCTTCTGCTTCTGCCTCCGATTGCAGAACCACACGCGAACGACATCTCTCTCCACACAGAGCGAGCGGGACAGAGATAGAACCTCGTGGGAGCTGGGTTTGGGATTCTACAGACGGGCGACAGAGTCAGTCAGTGGGTGAGTGAGTGAGTGGGTGGGTGAGTGAGTGGGTGGGTGAGTGAGTGGGTGGGTGAGTAAGTGGGTGAGTGAGTGGGTGAGTGAGTGAGTGGGTGGGTGAGTGAGTGGGTGAGTGAGTGAGTGAGTGGGTGAGTGAGTCAGTGAGTCTACGAGTGAGTGAGTCAGTGAGTGAGTGAGTGGGTGAGTGAGTCAGTGAGTGGGTGGGTGAGTGAGTCAGTGAGTGATTGAGTGAGTGAGTGATTGAGTCTATGAGTGAGTGAGTCAGTGATTGAGTCAGCGAGCGGGACAGAGATAGAACCTCGTGGGAGCTGGGTTTGGGATTCTACAGACGGGGGAGAGAGTCAGTGAGAGTGTGAGTGAGTGAGTGGGTGAGTGGGTGGGTGGGTGAGTGAGTGGGTGAGTGGGTGAGTGGGTGAGTGAGTGAGTGGGAGCTGGGTTTGGGATTCTACAGACGGGGGAGAGAGTCAGTCAGTGGGTGAGTGAGTGAGTGGGTGAGTGGGTGGGTGGGTGAGTGAGTGGGTGAGTGGGTGAGTGAGTGGGTGAGTGAGTGAGTGAGTGGGTGAGTGAGTGGGTGAGTGAGTGAGTGGGTGAGTGAGTCAGTGAGTCTACGAGTGAGTGAGTCAGTGAGTGAGTGAGTGAGTCAGTGAGTGAGTGAGTGGGTGAGTCATTGAGTGATTGAGTGAGTGAGTGATTGAGTCTATGAGTGAGTCAGTCAGTGATTGAGTCAGCGAGCGGGACAGAGATAGCACCTCGTGGGAGCTGGGTTTGGGATTCTACAGACGGGGGAGAGCGTCAGTGAGAGTGTGAGTGAGTGAGTGAGTCATTGAGTGAGTGGGTGAGTGAGTGAGTGGGTGGGTGAGTGAGTGGGTGAGTGAGTGAGTGGGTGGGTGAGTGAGTCAGTGAGTCTACGAGTGAGTGAGTCAGTGAGTGAGTGAGTGGGTGAGTGAGTCAGTGAGTGAGTGGGTGAGTGAGTCAGTGAGTGATTGAGTGAGTGAGTGATTGAGTCTATGAGTGAGTGAGTCAGTGATTGAGTCAGCGAGCGGGACAGAGATAGAACCTCGTGGGAGCTGGGTTTGGGATTCTACAGACGGGGGAGAGCGTCAGTGAGAGTGTGAGTGAGTGAGTGGGTGAGTGGGTGGGTGGGTGAGTGAGTGGGTGAGTGAGTGAGTGGGTGAGTGAGTGGTGAGTGAGTGTGTGAGTGGGTGAGTGGGTGAGTGAGTGAGTGAGTGGGTGAGTGAGTGGGTGAGTGGGTGAGTGAGTGAGTGAGTGGGTGAGTGAGTGGGTGAGTGAGTGAGTGAGTGGGTGAGTGAGTGGGTGAGTGAGTGGGTGAGTGAGTGAGTGGGTGAGTGAGTCAGTGAGTCTACGAGTGAGTGAGTCAGTGAGTGAGTGAGTGGGTGAGTGAGTCAGTGAGTGAGTGGGTGAGTGAGTGGGTGAGTGAGTGAGTGAGTCAGTGAGTGGGTGGGTGAGTGAGTGGGTGAGTGAGTGAGTGGGTGAGTGAGTCAGTGAGTCTACGAGTGAGTGAGTCAGTGAGTGAGTGAGTGGGTGAGTGAGTCAGTGAGTGGGTGGGTGAGTGAGTGGGTGAGTGAGTGAGTGGGTGAGTGAGTGGATGAGTGAGTGAGTCAGTGATTGAGTCAGCGAGCGGGACAGAGATAGCACCTCGTGGGAGCTGGGTTTGGGATTCTACAGACGGGGGAGAGTCAGTGAGAGAGTGAGTGGGTGGGTGAGTGGGTGGGTGAGTGGGTGGGTGAGTGGGTGAGTGGGTGGGTGAGTGAGTGAGTGAGTCAGTGAGTGAGTGAGTGGGTGAGATAGTGAGTCAGTGAGTGAGTGAGAGAGTGGGTGAGTGAGTGGGTGAGTGAGTCAGTGAGTGAGTGGGTGAGTGAGTCAGTGAGTGAGTGGGTGGGTGAGTCAGTGAGTGATTGAGTGAGTGAGTGATTGAGTCTATGAGTGAGTGAGTCAGTGATTGAGTCAGCGAGCGGGACAGAGATAGCACCTCGTGGGAGCTGGGTTTGGGATTCTACAGACGGGGGAGAGCGTCAGTGAGAGTGTGAGTGAGTGAGTGAGTGGGTGAGTGAGTGAGTGGGTGAGTGGGTGGGTGAGTGAGTGGGTGAGTGGGTGGGTGAGTGGGTGGGTGAGTGGGTGAGTGGGTGAGTGGGTGAGTGGGTGGGTGAGTGAGTGAGTGAGAGAGTGAGTAAGTGAGTGAGTCAGTGAGTAAGTGAGCGAGTGGGTGAGTCTGTGAGTGGGTGAGTGAGTGGGTGAGTGGGTGAGTGGGTGGGTGAGTGAGTGAGTGGGAGCTGGGTTTGGGATTCTACAGACGGGGGAGATAGTCAGTGAGGGAGTGGGTGGGTGGGTGGGTGAGTGGGTGGGTGGGTGAGTGGGTGGGTGAGTGAGTGGGTGAGTGGGTGAGTGAGTGGGTGAGTGGGTGAGTGGGTGAGTGGGTGGGTGAGTGAGTGAGTGAGAGAGTGAGTAAGTGAGTGAGTCAGTGAGTAAGTGAGTGAGTGGGTGAGTCTGTGAGTGGGTGAGTGAGTGGGTGAGTGGGTGAGTGGGTGGGTGAGTGAGTGAGTGAGAGAGTGAGTGAGTGGGTGAGTCAGTGAGTAAGTGAGTGAGTGGGTGAGTCTGTGAGTGAGTGAGTGAGTCAGTGAGCGGGACAGAGATAGCTCCTCGTGGGAGCTGGGTTTGGGATTTTACAGACGGGGGAGAGAGTCAGTGAGTGAGTGAGTCAATGAGTCAGTGAGTTAGTGAGTGAGTCAGTGAGTCAGTGAGTGAGTCAGTGAGTGAGTCAGTGAGTGAGTGAGTGGGTGAGTGAGTGGGTGAGTGAGTGAGTCAGTGAGTCGACGAGTGAGTCAGTGAGTCAATGAGTCAGTGAGTGAGTCAGTGAGTTAGTGAGTGAGTCAGTGAGTCAGTGAGTGACTCAGTGAGTGAGTCAGTGAGTGAGTGAGTGGGTGAGTGAGTGAGTGAGTCAGTGAGTCGACGAGTGAGTCAGTTAGTCTATGAGTGAGTGAGTGAGTCAGTGAGTGAGTGAGTCAGTGAGTAAGTGAGTCAGTGAGTGAGTGAGTCAGTGGGTGAGTCTATAAGTGAGTGATTCAGTGAGTGAGTGAGAGGGTCACTGAGTGAGTCAGTGAGTGATTGAGAGGGTGAGTGAGTGAGTGAGTCAGTGAGTGAGTCAGTGAGTGAGTTAGTGAGTGGGAGAGTGAGTCAGTGAGTGAGTGAGTGAGTTACTGAGTGAGTCAGTGCGTGAGTGAGTGAGTGAGTCAGTGAGTGAGTCAGTGAGTGAGTTAGTGAGTGAGAGAGTGAGTGAGTGAGTCAGTGAGTGAGTCAGTGAGTGAGAGAGTGAGTCAGTGAGTGAGTGAGTGAGTCACTGAGTGAGTCAGTGCGTGAGTGAGTGAGTGAGTCAGTGAGTGAGTGAGTGAGTCAGTGAGTGAGTGAGTGAGTTATTGAGTGAGTCAGTGAATGAGTGAGGGCGTGAGTCAGTCAGTGACTGAGTGAGTCAGTGAGTGAGTGAGTGAGTCAGTGAGTGAGTGAGTGAGTCAGTGAGTGAGTCAGTGAGTGAGTGAGTGAGTCAGTGAGTGAGTGAGTGAGTCAGTGAGTGAGTGAGTCAGTGAGTGAGTCAGTGAGTGAGTCAATGAGTGAGAGAGTGAGTCAGTGAGTGAGTGAGTGAGTCAGTGAGTGAGTCAGTGAGTCAGTGAGTGAGTCAGTGAGTCAGTGAGTGAGTGAGTCAGTGAGTGAGTCAGTGAGTGAGTCAATGAGTGAGTGAGTGAGTCAGTGAGTGAGTGAGTCAGTGAGTGAGTCAGTGAGTGAGTCAGTGAGTGAGTGAGTCAGTGAGTGAGTGAGTCAGTGAGTGAGTCAGTGAGTGAGTGAGTCAGTGAGTGAGTGGGTGAGTGAGTCAGTGAGTCAGTGAGTGAGTCAGTGAGTGAGTGAGTCAGTGAGTGAGTCAGAGAGTGAGTGAGAGGGTGAGTGAGTGAGTGAGTCAGTCAGTGAGTGAGTCAGTGAGTGAGTGAGTCAGCGAGTGAGTGAGTGAGTGGGTCAGTGAGTGAGTGAGAGTGAGAAAGAGTGGGTGAGTCAGTGAGTGAGTCAGTGAGTGAGTGAGTCTGTGAGTGAGTGAGTCAGTGAGTGTGTCAGTAAGTGAGTGAGTCAGAGTGAGTCAGTGAGTGAGTCAGAGTGAGTCAGTGAGTGAGTGGGTGAGTCAGTGAGTGAGTGGGTGAGTGACTCAGTGAGTTAGTGAGTGAGTGAGTTAGTGAGTCAGTGAGTGGGTGAGTCAGTGAGTGAGTCAGTGAGTTTAGTGGATAGTGTAGTGTATAGTGTAATGTAGTAGTGTATAGTGTAGTGTATAGTGTAGTGTATAGTAGTGTATAATGTAGTGTATATTATAGTAGTGTATAATGTAGTAGTGTATAGTGTACAGTAATGTATAATGTATTAGTGTATATAGTAGTGTATATAGTAGTGTATATAATGTATAATATAAATAGTATGTGTGTATATATTGTGTAAACAGGAAGTGACGTCACTACCCGCAGGAAGTGGATCTCCAGCTGAGCTCTGACCGCGGCGTCCAGGGAAGTTCTCTTCCTACGCAGGGATCGCCATGGCAACGAGCAGCGGTGAACACAGCCACTGGGGCTCTCTGGGTGGGGGAGGGGCGAGAGGTCGCCATGGCAACGAGCAGCGGTGAACACAGCCACTGGGGCTCTCTGGGTGGGGGGAGGGGCGAGTGGTCGCCATGGCAACGAGCAGCGGTGAACACAGCCACTGGGGCTCTCTGGGGGGAGGGGCGAGAGGTCGCCATGGCAACGAGCAGCGGTGAACACAGCCATTGGGGCTCTCTGGGGGGAGGGGCGAGAGGTCGCCATGGCAACGAGCAGCGGTGAACACAGCCACTGGGGCTCTCTGGGTGGGGGAGGGGGGAGGGGGGGGGAGTGGTGGGACAATGGTGAGGGGAGTGGGGGGAGAGTGGTGGGGAGAGTGTTGGGGAGAGTGATAGTTAGTGGTAGTTAGTGGTAGTTAGTTTGGTAGTTAGTGGTGGTTATTGATAGTTAGTGGTGGTTATTGATAGTTAGTGTGATAGTTAGTGTGATAGTTAGTGTGATAGTTAGTGTGGTAGTTAGTGGTGGTTAGTGATAGTTAGTGTGATAGTTAGTGTGATAGTTAGTGTGATAGTTAGTGTGATAGTTAGTGTGGTAGTTAGTGGTGGTTAGTGATAGTTAGTGTGATAGTTAGTGTGATAGTTAGTGTGATAGTTAGTGTGGTAGTTAGTGGTGGTTATTGATAGTTAGTGTGATAGTTAGTGTGATAGTTAGTGTGGTAGTTAGTCTCATAGTTAGTGTGGTAGTTAGTGATAGTTAGTGATAGTTAGTGATAGTTAGTACTAGTTAGTGTACTAGTTAGTGATAGTTAGTGATAGTTAGTGATAGTTAGTGTACGAGTTAGTGTACTAGTTAGTACTAGTTAGTGATAGTTAGTGATAGTTAGTGATAGCTAGTGATAGTTATTGTACTAGTTAGTACTAGTTAGTACTAGTTAGTGATAGTTAGTGATAGTTAGTGATAGTTAGTGTACGAGTTAGTGTACTAGTTAGTGATAGTTAGTGATAGTTAGTGATAGTTATTGTACTAGTTAGTACTAGTTAGTACTAGTTAGTGATAGTTAGTGATAGTTAGTGATAGTTAGTGATAGTTAGTGTGGTAGTTAGTACTAGTTAGTACTAGTTAGTGATAGTTAGTGATAGTTAGTGTACTAGTTAGTGATAGTTAGTGATAGTTAGTGATAGTTAGTGTGGTAGTTAGTGATAGTTAGTGATAGTTAGTGATAGTTAGTGATAGTTAGTGTGATAGTTAGTGATAGTTAGTGTACTAGTTGGTGTGGTAGTTAGTGATAGTTAGTGATAGTTAGTGTACTAGGTAGTGTACTAGTTAGTGTACTAGTTAGTGATAGTTAGTAATAGTTAGTGATAGTTAGTGATAGTTAGTGATAGTTAGTGTACTAGTTAGTGTACTAGTTAGTGTACTAGTTAGTGTACTAGTTAGTGATAGTTAGTGATAGTTAGTGATAGTTAGTGTGATAGTTAGTGATAGTTAGTGTACTAGTTGGTGTGGTAGTTAGTGATAGTTAGTGATAGTTAGTGTACTAGTTAGTGATAGTTAGTAATAGTTAGTGATAGTTAGTGATAGTTAGTGATAGTTAGTGTACTAGTTAGTGTACTAGTTAGTGTACTAGTTAGTGATAGTTAGTGATAGTTAGTGATAGTTAGTGTGGTAGTTAGTGATAGTTAGTGATAGTTAGTGATAGTTAGTAATAGTTAGTGATAGTTAGTGATAGTTAGTGATAGTTAGTGTGGTAGTTAGTGATAGTTAGTGATAGTTTGTGATAGTTAGTGATAGTTAGTGATAGTTAGTGTGGTAGTTAGTGATAGTTAGTGATAGTTAGTGTGGTAGTTAGTGATAGTTAGTGTACTAGTTAGTGTGGTAGTTAGTGATAGTTAGTGATAGTTAGTGATAGTTAGTGTGGTAGTTAGTGTGGTAGTTAGTGATAGTTAGTGATAGTTAGTGATAGTTGGTGATAGTTAGTGTGGTAGTTAGTGATGGTAACTAACCCATGTTGAGTAGCCAGGCCTCCAGTAGTGGCCTAATCCTCGCCATGTTTCTGTAGCTGTTAGTTAGTGATAGTTAGTGATAGTTAGTGACAGTTAGTGATAGTTAGTACTAGTTAGTACTAGTTAGTGGTAGTTAGTGATAGTTAGTGATAGTTAGTGTACTAGTTAGTACTAACTAGTGGTAGTTACTAACCCATGTTGAGTAGCCAGGCCTCCAGTAGTGGCCTAATCCTCGCCATGTTTCTGTAGCTGAGGTTCAGGGCTTCGAACCTGGAGATGGTTGTCTGGCTGAACGCGTTGCCATGGATACGGCCCATAGCAACGCCCACGTCGCCCTGGCAACGGAGGGGGGAAGGGGGTAGGGGGTGTTGGTTACCAAGCAACCGGTTGCGCGTTTAAGGCTACGCGTGCAACTAGTTGCAACTAAGGATTGCAACTAGGATTGCACGCAAGTGGTATCAACTAGGGTTTGCAACTACGATTGCATGCAACTGACATCAGCTAGGGATTGCAACTACGATTGCATGCAACTGGTTGCAACTAGGATTTGCAACTAGGATTGCACGCAAGTGGTATCAACTAGGGTTTGCAACTACGATTGCATGCAACTGACATCAGCTAGGGATTGCAACTACGATTGCATGCAACTGGTTGCAACTAGGATTTGCAACTACAATTGAATGCAACTGGTTGCAACTAGGGAATGCAACTACGATTGCACGCAACTGATATCAAATAGGGTTTGCAACTACGATTGCATGCAACTGGTTGCAACTACGATTGCATGCAACTGGTTGCAACTAGGGTTTGCAACTACGATTGCATGCAACCGGTTGCAACTAGAGTTTGCAACTACGATTGCATGCAACCGGTTGCAACTAGGGTTTGCAACTACGATTGCATGCAATCGGTTGCAACTAGAGTTTGCAACTACGATTGCATGCAACCGGTTGCAACTAGGGTTTGCAACTACGATTGCATGCAACTGGTTGCAACTACGATTGCATGCAACCGGTTGCAACTAGGGTTTGCAACTACGATTGCATGCAACCGGTTGCAACTATGGTTTGCAATTACAATTGCATGCAACTGGTTGCAACTACGATTGCATGCAACCGGTTGCAACTAGGATTTGCAACTACGATTGCATGCAACTGGTTGCAACTACAATTGCATGCAACCGGTTGCAACTACGATTGCATGCAACTGGTTGCAACTACGATTGCATGCAACCGGTATCAACTAGGGTTTGCAACTACGATTGCATGCAACCGGTTGCAACTAGGGTTTGCAATTACAATTGCATGCAACTGGTTGCAACTACGATTGCATGCAACCGATTGCAACTAGGTTTTGCAACTACGATTGCATGCAACCGGTTGCAACTAGGATATGCAACTACGATTGCACGCAACTGGTATCAACTAGCGATTGCAACTACGATTGCATGCAACTGGTTGCAACTACGATTGCATGCAACCGGTTGCAACTAGGGATCGCAACTACGATTGCATGCAACCGGTTGCAACTATGGCTTGCAACTACGATTGCACGCAACTGGTTGCAACTAGGGATTGCAACGGGGGGGGGGTGAGTTGCACGCAACCCAGGTCACCTGCGTGTGGCCCAGTTTGATTCGCCGCTGCTTGAAGTTGCGAGCAAATTGCTCAAGTTGCTCCAACTCCACCTCGGCCCCGCCCCCTGCCCGTGACGTCGCCGCGGGGGGCCCCGCCCCCTCGTCGACGTCATCTGCGACGTCATCGCGGTCGTCACGCCGGGGTGACGTCACCGCACGGGGAATTACCGCCTGACACACACACACACACAGACACATATAGATACATAGATACACATACATACACACACAGATAGATACACACACATATAGATACACATACACACAGACACACAGACACACATAGATACACATACACACATACAAACACATACACACACACATAGATACATATACATACACACATATAGATACACACACACAGACACACACACAGATACACAGTCACACACATACACACATATAGATACACATACACACACACATACACACATACAGATACACACACAAATACACACACACATATAGATACACACACACAGACACACACACAGACACACAGACACACACACACATACACACAGACACACACACATACACACACACAGACACACACAGACACATAGACACACATAGATACACATATAGATACACATACACACACATCCACACACACAGACAGAAACACACATCCACACACACAGACAGAAACACACATCCACACACACAGACAGACACACACAGACACACACACACACAGACACACACATACACACACATACACACACACACATACACACACAGATACACACACATATATAGATACACAGTCATACACACAGACACACATACACATACACACACAGACACACAGACATACACACATACACACACACACATACGCACACACACAGACACATAGATACACATACACATACACACACAGACACATAAACACAGACACACACACACATATACACACACACAGACACACACAGTCACACACACATACACACAGTCACACACACATACATACACACACACATACACAGACACACGTACACATACACACATACAGTCACACACACAGACACACACACACATACAGACATAGATATACACACATACAAACACACAGTCACACACACACACAGACACACACACAGACACACGCAGACACACACACATAGATACACACACAGACACACACAGACACACACAGACACACACATAGATACACACACACAGACACACAGACACACACACACATACACACAGACACACACACACATACACACAGACACACACACAGTCACACACACACAGACACACACACAGACACACACACACACAGACACACAGACACACATACACACACAGACACACACAGACACAGACACATAGACACACACATAGATACACATATAGATACACATACACACACAGACACACACATACACACACAGACACACACATACACACACAGACACACATACACACAGACACACAGACTTACACATACATACATACACACATAGATACACACACACAGACACACATACACACACACACATACACACACAGACATACAGACACACACACATACACACAGACACACATAGATACACACAGACACACATAGATACAAATACACACATACACACACACAGACACACACACATACACACAGACACACACATACACACAGACACACATAGATACACATACACACATACACACACACAGACACACACACACATAGATACACACACAGACACAGACACACAGACACAAACACATACACACAGACACACATAGATACACATACTTACACACACATACACACACATAGATACACATACACAGACACACACACATAGATACACACACAGACACACACAGACACACAGACACACACATAGAGAGACACACATAGACGCACACACACATAGACACACACACATAGACACATAGACATACACACACATAGACAGGTAGACACACACACATAGACACACACACAGACACATAGACAGACACAGACATAGACACATAGACACACACGTACTGTATATACAAAGAGAGTCAGATATATAAAGAGAGACACAGAGAGATAGACAGTGAGACAGAGTGGGTGAGTGGGTGGGTGGGTGAGTGGGTGGGTGAGTGAGTGAGTGGGTGAGTGGATGAGTGAGTGGGTGGGTGAGTGAGTGAGTGATTGAGTGGGTGGGTGGGTGAGTGAGTGGGTGAGTGGGTGAGTGAGTGAGTGGGTGAGTGGGTGGGTGGGTGAGTGAGTGGGTGAGTGAGTGGGTGGGTGGGTGAGTGAGTGAGTGGGTGAGTGGATGAGTGAGTGGGTGAGTGAGTGGGTGAGTGAGTGAGTGGGTGAGTGGGTGGGTGGGTGGGTGAGTGAGTGGGTGAGTGAGTGGGTGGGTGAGTGAGTGAGTGGGTGGGTGAGTGAGTGGGTGAGTGGGTGGGTGAGTGGGTGAGTGAGTGAGTGGGTGAGTGGGTGAGTGGGTGGGTGAGTGAGTGAGTGAGTGGGTGAGTGAGTGAGTGGGTGAGTGGGTGGGTGAGTGAGTTGGTGAGTGAGTGGGTAAGTGAGTGGGTGAGTGGGTGAGTGAGTGAGTGGGTGAGTGGGTGAGTGAGTGGGTGAGTGGGTGAGTGGGTGGGTGAGTGAGTGGGTGAGTGAGTGAGTGGGTGAGTGAGTGAGTGGGTGAGTGAGTGGGTGAGTGGGTGAGTGGGTGGGTGAGTGAGTGAGTGAGTGGGTGGGTGAGTGGGTGGGTGAGTGGGTGGGTGAGTGGTTGATTTACGCACCTAGGTACGCTCAGCAGTAAATCTCACTCACCTGTCCGTCCACAGCAGACCACGTGGTGTGAATCATGGCAGCAGTAACCTGAAACAAGATCACTCACCACTCACTCACCACTCACTCACCACTCACTCACCACTCACTCACTCACCACTCACTCACCCACCACTCACTCACCACTCACTCACCCACCACTCACTCACCACTCACTCACCCACCACTCACTCACCACTCACTCACTCACCACTCACTCACCACTCACTCACCCACTCACTCACTCACCCACTCACTCACCACTCACTCACCCACTCACTCACTCACCACTCACTCACCCACTCACTCACTCACTCACCCACTCACTCACTCACTCACCCACTCACTCACCCACTCACTCACTCACCACTCACTCACCCACTCACTCACTCACTCACCCACTCACTCACTCACTCACCCACTCACTCACTCACCACTGACTCACTCACTCACCACTCACTCACCCACTCACTCACCCACTCACTCACTCACCCACTCACTCACTCACCACTCACTCACCCACTCACTCACCCACTCACCAAGCCACTCACCCACTCACCCACTCACCCACCCACTCAACCACTCACTCACTCACCCACTTAGCCACCCACTCACCCACCCACCCACTCACTCACCCACTAACTCACCCACCCACTCACCCACCTACTAACCCACTCACTCACCCACTCACTCACCCACTCACTCACCCACTCACCCACTCACTCATCCAGCCACTCACCCACTCACCCACTCACACACTCACTCACTCACCCACTCACTCACCCACTCACTCACTCACCCACTCACTCACCCACCCACTCACCCACTCACTCACTCACCACTGACTCACCCACTCACTCACCCACTCACCCACTCACTCACCACTCACTCACCACTCACTCACCCACTCACCCACTCACTCACCCACTCACTCACTCACCACTCACTCACCCACTCACTCACCCACTCACTCACCCACTCACTCACCCACTCACTCACCACTCACTCACCCACTCACCCACTCACTCACCCACTCACTCACTCACTCACCCACTCACTCACCCACTCACTCACTCACTCACCACTCACTCACCCACTCACTCACCCACTCACCCACTCACTCACCACTCACTCACGACTCACTCACCCACTCACCCACTCACTCACCCACTCACCACTCACTCACCCACTCACTCACCCACTCACCCACTCACTCACCACTCACTCACCACTCACTCACCCACTCACCCACTCACCCACTCACTCACCCACTCACTCACTCACCACTCACTCACCACTCACTCACCCACTCACTCACCCACTCACTCACTCACCACTCACTCACCACTCACTCACCCACTCACTCACCCACTCACTCACTCACTCACCCACTCACTCACTCACTCACCCACTCACTCACTCACTCACCCACTCACCCACTCACTCACCCACTCACTCACTCACTCACCCGCTCACTCACCCACTCACTCACCCACTCACCCACTCACTCACTCACTCACCCACTCACTCACCCACCCACTCACCCACTCACTCACCCACCCACTCACTCACCCACTCACTCACCCACTCACCCACTCACTCACCCACTCACTTACCCACTCACTTACCCACTCACCCACCCACTCACCCACTCACTCACTCACCCACTCACCCACTCACTCACTCACTCACCCACTCACCCACTCACTCACCCACTCACTCACCCACCCACTCACTCACTCACCCACTCACTCACCCACTCACTCACTCACCCACTCACTCACCCACCCACTCACCCACTCACTCACCCACCCACTCACTCACCCACTCACTCACCCACTCACCCACTCACTTACCCACTCACCCACCCACTCACCCACTCACTCACCCACTCACTCACCCACCCACTCACTCACCCACTCACCCACTCACTCACCCACTCACTCACCCACTCACTCACTCACTCACCCACCCACTCACCCACTCACCCACCCACTCACCCACTCACCCACCCACTCACCCACTCACTCACCCACTCACTCACTCACTCACCCACTCACCCACTCACTCACCCACCCACTCACTCACCCACTCACTCACCCACTCACCCACTCACCCACTCACTTACCCACTCACTTACCCACTCACCCACCCACTCACTCACTCACCCACTCACCCACTCACTCACCCACTCACTCACCCACCCACTCACTCACCCACTCACTCACCCACTCACTCACCCACTCACCCACTCACCCACTCACTCACCCACCCACTCACCCACTCACTCACCCACTCACTCACTCACCCACTCACTCACCCACTCACCCACTCACCCACTCACTCACCCACTCACTCACCCACTCACCCACTCACTCACTCACCCACTCACTCACCCACTCACCCACTCACTCACCCACTCACCCACTCACTCACCCACCCACTCACTCACTCACCCACCCACTCACTCACTCACCCACTCACTCACCCACTCATTCACCCACTCACTCACTCACCCACTCACTCACCCACTCACTCACCCACTCACTCACCCACTCACCCACCCACTCACTCACTCACCCACTCACTCACTCACCCACTCACTCACCCACTCACCCACCCACTCACCCACTCACCCACTCACTCACCCACTCACCCACTCACCCACCCATTCCCTCACTCACCCACTCACTCACCCACTCACTCACCCACTCACCCACTCACCCACTCACTCACTCACCCACTCACCCACTCACCCACCCATTCACTCACTCACCCACTCACTCACCCACTCACTCACCCACTCACCCACTCACCCACTCACTCACTCACCCACCCACCCACTCACTCACCCACTCACTCACTCACCCACTCACTCACCCACTCACTCACCCACTCACACACTCACCCACTCACCCACTCACCCACTCACTCACCCACCCACTCACCCACTCACCCACTCACTCACCCACTCACCCACTCACCCACTCACTCACCCACTCACTCACCCACTCACCCACTCACTCACCCACTCACTCACCCACCCACTCACCCACTCACCCACTCACTCACCCACTCACCCACTCACCCACTCACTCACCCACTCACTCACCCACTCACCCACTCACTCACCCACTCACCCACTCACCCACTCACTCACCCACTCACCCACTCACTCACTCACCCACTCACCCACTCACTCACTCACCCACTCACTCACTCACTCACCCACCCACTCACTCACTCACCCACCCACTCACCCACTCACTCACCCACTCACTCACTCACCCACCCACTCACTCACTCACTCACCCACCCACTCACCCACTCACCCACTCACTCACCCACTCACCCACTCACTCACTCACCCACTCACCCACTCACTCACTCACCCACTCACTCACTCACTCACCCACCCACTCACTCACTCACCCACCCACTCACCCACTCACTCACCCACTCACCCACTCACCCACCCACTCACTCACTCACTCACCCACCCACTCACCCACTCACCCACTCACTCACTCACCCACTCACCCACCCACTCACTCACTCACCCACTCACTCACCCACTCACTCACCCACTCACCCACTCACTCACCCACTCACCCACTCACTCACCCACTCACCCACTCACCCACTCACTCACCCACTCACCCACTCACCCACTCACCCACTCACTCACCCACTCACTCACCCACTCACTCACCCACTCACCCACCCACTCACTCACCCACTCACCCACCCACCCACTCACTCACCCACTCACTCACCCACTCACTCACCCACTCACCCACTCACTCACTCACCCACTCACTCACTCACTCACCCACCCACTCACTCACCCACTCACTCACCCACTCACTCACCCACCCACTCACCCACCCACCCACTCACCCACTCACTCACCCACTCACTCACCCACCCACTCACCCACCCACCCACTCACCCACTCACTCACCCACTCACTCACCCACTCACTCACCCACTCACTCACCCACTCACTCACCCACTCACCCACTCACTCACCCACTCACTCACCCACTCACCCACTCACTCACCCACTCACTCACTCACTCACCCACTCACTCACCCACTCACCCACTCACTCACCCACTCACCCACTCACCCACTCACTCACCCACTCACCCACTCACCCACCCACTCACCCACTCACCCACTCACTCACCCACTCACTCACCCACTCACTCACCCACTCACTCACCCACTCACTCACCCACTCACCCACTCACTCACCCACTCACTCACCCACTCACCCACTCACTCACCCACTCACCCACCCACTCACCCACCCACCCACTCACCCACTCACTCACCCACTCACTCACCCACTCACTCACCCACTCACTCACCCACTCACTCACCCACTCACCCACTCACTCACCCACTCACTCACCCACTCACCCACTCACTCACCCACTCACTCACTCACTCACCCACTCACTCACCCACTCACCCACTCACTCACCCACTCACCCACTCACCCACTCACTCACCCACTCACCCACTCACCCACCCACTCACCCACTCACCCACTCACTCACCCACTCACTCACCCACTCACTCACTCACCCACCCACTCACTCACTCACCCACCCACTCACCCACTCACTCACTCACCCACTCACTCACTCACCCACTCACCCACTCACTCACTCACCCACTCACCCACTCACCCACTCACTCACTCACTCACCCACTCACCCACTCACTCACCCACTCACCCACTCACTCACCCACTCACTCACCCACTCACTCACCCACTCACTCACCCACTCACTCACCCACTCACCCACTCACTCACCCACTCACCCACTCACTCACCCACTCACTCACTCACTCACCCACTCACTCACCCACTCACTCACCCACCCACTCACCCACTCACCCACCCACTCACCCACTCACTCACTCACCCACCCACCCACTCACCCACTCACCCACCCACTCACCCACTCACCCACCCACCCACTCACCCACCCACTCACCCACTCACTCACTCACCCACTCACTCACCCACTCACCCACCCACTCACTCACTCACCCACCCACCCACTCACCCACTCACCCACCCACTCACCCACTCACCCACCCACCCACTCACCCACCCACTCACCCACTCACTCACCCACTCACTCACTCACCCACTCACTCACCCACTCACTCACTCACCCACTCACCCACTCACCTGTCCTTGCTGAGTGTGAGCGAGGTCTCAGCTCTGTCTGCTGTTGGCAACTTACCTGCTCAACTCCTCATTTGCATCTCATTTGCATCTCATTTGCATAGGAGACCTGTTGTTCCGGTCACCTATTCAAGGCAAAGACAAAGGCGCTCAGGAGCTCCCAGGTAGCTCGCGACGCCTTACGACGGGCAAGGGCAACGCGAGAGGCGATGGGTGGGAGGGGTGAGTGAGTGGGTGAGTGAGTGAGTGAGTGGGTGAGTGGGTGAGTGAGTGAGTGAGTGGGTGAGTGAGTGAGTGAGTGGGTGAGTGGGTGGGTGAGTGGGTGAGTGAGTGAGTGAGTGGGTGAGTGAGTGGGTGAGTGAGTGGGTGGGTGAGTGGGTGGGTGGGTGGGTGAGTGGGTGGGTGAGTGGGTGGGTGGGTGGGTGAGTGAGTGGGTGGGTGAGTGGGTGGGTGAGTGGGTGGGTGAGTGGGTGGGTGAGTGAGTGGGTGAGTGGGTGGGTGGGTGGGTGAGTGAGTGAGTGAGTGGGTGAGTGAGTGGGTGGGTGAGTGGGTGGGTGGGTGGGTGAGTGGGTGGGTGAGTGGGTGGGTGGGTGGGTGAGTGAGTGGGTGGGTGAGTGGGTGGGTGAGTGGGTGGGTGAGTGGGTGGGTGAGTGAGTGGGTGAGTGGGTGGGTGGGTGGGTGAGTGAGTGGGTGAGTGAGTGGGTGGGTGAGTGGGTGGGTGAGTGGGTGGGTGAGTGGGTGGGTGAGTGGGTGGGTGAGTGGGTGGGTGGGTGGGTGAGTGAGTGGGTGAGTGAGTGGGTGGGTGAGTGGGTGGGTGAGTGGGTGGGTGAGTGAGTGGGTGAGTGGGTGGGTGAGTGAGTGGGTGAGTGAGTGAGTGGGTGAGTGGGTGGGTGAGTGAGTGGGTGAGTGGGTGGGTGAGTGGGTGGGTGAGTGAGTGGGTGAGTGGGTGGGTGGGTGAGTGGGTGGGTGAGTGAGTGCGTGGGTGGGTGAGTGGGTGGGTGAGTGAGTGGGTGAGTGAGTGAGTGGGTGAGTGGGTGGGTGAGTGAGTGGGTGAGTGGGTGGGTGGGTGGGTGAGTGGGTGGGTTGGTGGGTGGGTGAGTGGGTGGGTGAGTGGGTGGGTGAGTGGGTGAGTGCGTGGGTGAGTGAGTGAGTGGGTGAGTGAGTGGGTGGGTGAGTGGGTGGGTGAGTGAGTGGGTGAGTGGGTGAGTGAGTGAGTGGGTGGGTGAGTGGGTGGGTGAGTGAGTGGGTGAGTGGGTGGGTGGGTGAGTGGGTGGGTGAGTGAGTGCGTGGGTGGGTGAGTGAGTGCGTGGGTGGGTGAGTGGGTGGGTGAGTGAGTGGGTGAGTGAGTGAGTGGGTGAGTGGGTGGGTGAGTGAGTGGGTGAGTGGGTGGGTGGGTGGGTGAGTGGGTGGGTTGGTGGGTGGGTGAGTGAGTGAGTGGGTGGGTGGGTGGGTGAGTGAGTGGGTGAGTTGGTGGGTGAGTGGGTGAGTGCGTGGGTCAGTGAGTGAGTGGGTGAGTGAGTGGATGGGTGAGTGGGTGGGTGCGTGAGTGGGTTAGAGAGTGGGTGGGTGAGTGAGTGGGTGAGTGAGTGGGTGAGTGAGTGAGTGAGTGGGTGGGTGAGTGGGTGGGTGAGTGAGTGAGTGGGTGAGTGGGTAAGTGGGTGAGTGGGTGGGTGGGTGAGTGAGTGAGTGGGTGAGTGGGTGAGTGAGTGGGTGGGTGAGTGGGTGGGTGAGTAAGTGAGTGGGTGAGTGAGTGGGTGGGTGAGTGGGTGAGTGAGTGAGTGGGTGGGTGAGTGGGTGGGTGAGTGGGTGGGTGAGTAAGTGAGTGGGTGAGTGAGTGGGTGGGTGGGTGAGTGGGTGGGTGGGTGAGTGAGTGGGTGAGGGGGTGGGTGGGTGGGTGAGTAGGTGAGTGAGTGGGTGGGTGGGTGAGTGAGTGGGTGAGTGAGTGGGTGGGTGGGTGAGTGAGTGGGTGAGTGGGTGAGTGGGTGAGTGAGTGGGTGAGTGGGTGAGTGGGTGGGTGAGAGGGTGAGTGAGCGTGTGAGTGGGTGAGTGGGTGGGTGAGTGGGTGGGTGAGTGGGTGAGTGGGTGGGTGAGTGAGTGGGTGAGTGAGTGGGTGGGTGGGTGAGTGAGTGGGTGAGTGGGTGAGTGGGTGAGTGAGTGGGTGAGTGGGTGAGTGGGTGGGTGAGATAGTGGGTGAGTGGGTGGGTGAGTGGGTGGGTGAGTGGGTGAGTGAGTGAGTGAGTGGGTGAGTGGGTGGGTGAGTGGGTGGGTGAGTGAGTGGGCGGGTGAGTGGGTGGGTGAGTGAGTGGGTGACTGGGTGGGTGAGTGAGTGGGTGAGTGAGTGGGTGGGTGAGTGAGTGAGTGGGTGAGTAGGTGGGTGAGTGGGTGGGTGAGTGGGTGAGTGGGTGAGTGAGTAGGTGAGTGAGTGGGTGAGTGAGTGAGTGGGTAAGTGAGTGAGTAGGTGAGTGACTGGGTGAGTGAGTGAGTGGGTCAGTGAGTGAGTGGGTGAGTGGGTGAGTAGGTGAGTGAGTAGGTGAGTGAGTGGGTGAGTCAGTGGGTGAGTAGGTGAGTGAGTGGGTGAGTGAGTGAGTGGGTAAGTGAATGAGTGGGTGAGTGAGTGGGTGAGTGAGTGAGTGAGTTGGTGAGTGGGTGGGTGAGTGGGTGAGTGGGTGAGTGGTTGGGTGAATGAGTGGGTGAGTGAGTGGGTGGGTGAGTGAGTGAGTGGGTGAGTGAGTTAGTGGGTGAGTGAGTGAGTGGGTGGGTGAGGGAGTGAGTGAGTGGGTGGGTGAGTGAGTGAGTGGGTGGGTGAGTGGGTGGGTGAGTGAGTGGGTGGGTGAGAGGGTGAGTGAGCGTGTGAGTGGGTGAGTGGGTGGGTGAGTGGGTGGGTGAGTGAGTGGGCGGGTGAGTGGGTGAGTGGGTGGGTGAGTGAGTGGGTGACTGGGTGGGTGAGTGAGTGGGTGAGTGAGTGGGTGGGTG